GTGTTAGTTGAAGCGAGGAGGTCAGAGGAGGAACAGGTGAGCAGCTGGAGGAGGGAGGAAGAGCCTTCTGATGTAAGAGAGGAAGAGTGAGATGGGAGCCAGAAGGAGGCGGAGTTTGCTGATGGGAGGAGGGAGGAGGAGCAGAGTGTCGACTGGAAAAAGGAGGTGTTTGTTGGTGAGAGGAGGCTGGAGGAAGAGGAAGAGTAGATGGATGGTTGTTGGAAGGAGGAAGATAATGTAAAGGAGGAGGAGGAGCAGTGTGATGGGAGCCAGGAGGCGGAGTCTGTTGGTGAGAGGAGACAAAAGGAGGCGGAGTCTGTTGATAGGAAGAAACAGCAGGAGGCGGAGTCTGATGGTGAGAGGAGATAGAAGGAGGCGGAGTCTGATGGTGAGAGGAGACAAAAGGAGGCGGAGTCTGATGGTGAGAGGAGACAAAAGGAGGCGGAGTCTGTTGATAGGAAGAAACAGCAGGAGGCGGAGTTTGTTGGTGAGAGGAGACAGAAGGAGGCGGAGTCTGTTGGTGAGAGGAGACAAAAGGAGGCGGAGTCTGTTGGTGAGAGGAGACAAAAGGAGGTGGAGTCTGTTGGTAAGAGGAGACAGAAGGAGGCGGAGTCTGTTGGTGAGAGGAGACAGAAGGAGGCGGAGTCTGTTGGTGAGAGGAGACAGAAGGAGGCGGGGTCTGCTGATGGAAGACAGGTGCAGGAGGAGGAGCAGGGAGGAGCTGCAGGGAGGAGTAAATGGGCGTGCAGTTGTAGGCGTGGGAGGAGCAGCAGGAGCATGGCTGCTGCAGGTTGGAGTTCGGGGTGCTGTGGAGGTGAGGAGGAGGAGGTTTGGGGGCTGACGAGGAGGCGGAGCTCGGCGGGGCAGCAGCTGGAGGAGGCCTGTGGGCGGAGCCAGGGTCCTGGGCTGGGCCGTGATTGGAGGAGAAGCTGCCATCAATCAGCAGGGAGAGCTCAGGAACAGACGGCTGAATCCTGCGAGCCTGAAAACACAAACAAACAACGTTTACCTGGAGGGGGCGGAGCCTAAGCTTCAGGTCATTTCTCTTCTTCATGTGGAATATCTCAAATCTACTTAATACTTTAATCAAAGTTTTTATTGGATGTTCAGTGAAATAACTTTATGTGTGGAGAGTGGGGGGGCAAAAAGCTGGAAATGTTTTAATTATCATAAGGAGCACAAGTTTGCTGAACTCAGTGGAAAATATTTAATAGCTACAAAAAATTTGTATTTATCTTAGAAAAGCTAACTTTAGCTAATAGCAGCTAAACATAAGCCAAAATTTCAGCAAATAGCTGAATATAGCAGAAACATACAGCATCTCTAAGAAACCTAAATATCACAAAGTAGAAGAAAAAAACAACAACAGAAGAATAGTGAAAAAAAGCTGAATTTTAGATGAAATAGCAGAAAAAAGCTAACATTACTAAAATAGTAGCTAAAATTAGCACAAGAACATGAAGAAAAGCAGAACCAGAACAACATGTGAGGTTCTTTAAAGATTTAGAAACATTTTAAAAGAGTTTAAGGTTGTTGAAAACAGCTCYGTTCATTTTCAATGAKAAAAAAGTGAAATAAGTAAAAAAGTATAAAAAGCTGAAACACTAAAAGTCACAGCCGGCCTCACATGAGCCGAAYGTTTTCATYATGAATTGTTGAAATAACAGAAAAATTATGGAACGAGTCAGAAGATGAAAAACCTACGGAAGAAATAAAACGATCTCAATGCGTGAATGAATGAATGTGAATGAATGAATGTGAATGAATGAATGTGAAGCGTCTCAAACAGTTTCAGACCCAGCGGGACTCTAACCTGCGGCACCGGAGGGTGGGGGTTTGGAGACGGTCGAGGAGAGAAGTCTTCGTCCTCGACGCCGGAGTCCTGGTCGCTGACGGAGGGAGGAGCGGCAGGAGGAGGAGTTCTGAGGACAGAATCACAGAAACATGACGGTCCGGTCCAGAACCACTTCCTGTGGGGGTCTCTGTAAAACTCCAGACCTGCTGAAGGACTCCTGAGCCGCTCTGAAGACCTCAGCCCGTCTGCTGCGATCCTCTGGACCCAGCTCGCAGGTTAGAACCCGGCCGTCCAGCGGCGCCACCTGCTGACGACACGAGTCCACATTCAGCCCGTCATCAGAGTCRGAACCCTGAAACCCAGAACCAACCGGTACCTGCAGGTAAAGTCTGCCCGACTGGGCGCCGCCCAGCAGCTGGAAGTCCAGCTGTGGTCCCGGTCCAGATCCTGGTCTGGACCCCCGACACTGGAAGAACTGAGGGGCTCTGTGGGTGGAGCCGAACAGAACCAGGAGGAAACAGCCGCTCTCTGACAGAACCCTGAAACACAAGAACCTTCAAAGCCGAGAAACGTTCTCCAACTTCCTGCTTCCTCTGCCTCTGAGCCTCACCTGTCCTGGAGGGCGGAGCTAAACAGGAACCTCAGACAGCAGGCCCACACCTGAGGGTTGTAGACGTGCGTGACCCCGCTCAGCCAGCTGGAAGCAGACACACATGTTGGGACGTGTTCAGGTGTCAAAACAGCTGGAGGACTTCCTGCGGGACTTACAGGCCGACCAGCGGCAGGCCGGAGGCTTTAGGGTCCGACTCCAGCAGGAGGACCAGTTTCCTGGTCTGGTCCATGGTCAGGAACCTGTCGGGAACAGAAACACGTCAGTAACGTGTAACGCTGATCAGGAGGCGGAGCCGGCGGCGCCTCACCCTCGCTGGCGGGCGGCGTGCTGCGGCGGGCGGCCCGCGCCGGTCAGACTCCTCAGCAGGGCGGTGGGGACGACGGGGACGGCTCGGACCGGCTGGACGTCCACGCCGGTGGCGGGACAGACGGCCGACCAGCCGAGGCTGAACGCCGCGGCGTCGGGGGCGGTCTGGGAGACGAGCAGGTGAGCCCTGAGCTTCAACAGGTGAGACAGATCCAGAGTCTGTCTGCTGCTCAGGGTCTGCTGCAGCGCCTGAGGGAACAGATGACATCATGGTTTGATGGTTTGAACGTTAACAAACAAACAAACAAAAACAAACATAACAAAACAAAACAAAAAAACAAATAAAACAAACAAAACTACAGAAAAACAAAAACAATACAAAAAACAAACTAAAAACAAAATAAAACAAAAAGAAAAACAAAATGAGGAACCTTGAAGCACTGATGAAGCTCCGCCTCTGATTGGACGACAGGCTCAGGCGTCACCTCGGACTGGGCCGAGAACAAACAGGGAACCGGGACGTCTCCGGGCAGCAGAGTGGACGGAACCCGGCCCGCGGACCCAGCCCGATCCCGACCCGGGTCGAAGCGGTCCAGAGTCACTACGACCCCCTCCTCATCTGGACCACAGAGGACACACGGSCGGACTCAGAACCTGACATCGGTCAACAAACCTGATCTCTGAGGGCCAACCCTCACCTGAGCTCACKGACGCCGATCCCAGGAAGAAGCAGAGGAGGCGGGGCTTGTTGCTGCGGCGGGCGTGGCGCTGCGCCAGGCGGAGGGCTTTTTCCAGGAGAACAACCCCGAGCTTCCTGCGAAGAAACGTTAACGTGGACTTTTAGCGGTCCTAAAACCTCCGGACCACCGTAGTCCCGGCAGAGGTGTGTTTACCTGTGAGAGCAGAGCTGGAGGCGGAGCTTCTCTCCTGCAGGGCTGCCGTCCCACAGAGCCGATCTGGATTTAGGAAAACTGAGCTGAGTGAAGGAGTTTCTGTGAAACAGCAGAAAAACTTTATTTTATTGTAAACGTCATTGAGAATACTAAAAAGCATTATAAAAGTATTATTATTATTATTAAAATGATTTATTTAAACCATTTTTCTGTTTAAAAATAATATTTTTTTAACTTGATTTTCAGTGAATCTGATCCAACTGAAGTCAAATATAATTTCTCATTATTTTATATAATATATATGGTGACAAATAAAAGTTTTGGATAATTTTTCAAAAGAACAAACATTCAATAACAAGTCTTTTCAGGCAGGTAAGAAAAAATAAATAACTTTTGGACGTAAAAACTTAACATTTGTTAATAATACCATCATGGTCTGTCCTGTGCAGAAAGACTAAACACTAAATTATTTCTTTATTAAAACCTCTGTAACTTTGCTCCAGGTCATTTTGGCAGCATGAATGTTTACAGGTGATGTCCACAGGTGGATTTATGGTTTCTGAGAGTTTTTAGTCTGATTCATAATGAAAACATTATTCAGGTGAGTGAAAATAAATAAATAATTATGTTCTCATCAATATGTCTAAAACCACAGCAGCTGTTTTAATATTTACACTTCTAATAAAATCTCCCAAGCGTTGCTTTATTTTCATACCAAGATTATGTAAGAAGTAGATTTTGAGCAAAAACATCARKAAAGRTGTTAAGTGTTTTTGTTGAAAACATTTTGGTTTGAACCCAAATCGTTTAAATGTTAAAGTGGCACAAACATCAGTAAATGATTTATTGTAGTTTTTATTTGATTAAACATGAATTAGCAGCGGGTGTAGACATGAAGTTTGACAGTTTATAAACCTTTAGTCTGATTAAAGTCACGTTTTAACAACAAACTTACCTTCCTCTCATGTTTTCCGGAGAGAAAACGTCCTGCAGGACTGCACCGGGCAGGGCCTGGAGGTTCACCGGGCAGCTCATCCCCGGTGAGGCCGACAGGACCGGAGCTGTGAGCGGCAGATAAACAACGGAGCTGCCGCTGAATGCTAACGTTAGCTTCCCCGGTTAGCCTCCCGCTCCGCATCGGCTCAAACTGTCCTCCTTCACAATCGGCACCAGAACCGACGCTGTGGGCGAGTTACTGAAAACCAGACGAACTCCGTAGTCGAACCGAACACATTCCCGTTTTTTATTAACAAACTAGATTTAAAAAAAGAGCAAAAGTTAAGCACAGTTTGATTATGGCGCTGTTTCCAGACTCCTGTGGCGGGGTAACTCAGCGGACCAATAGGAACGTGTGTTGCAGGCAGACTGACCAATGGCGTGCCGCGTTGTTTGCTCGTCATCTGTTGTTAGCTAGAAATTCCGTATTAGTGCTCGACACCGCCCCTGGAGGCCAAATAAAAGAAAAACACTGAATTTTTTCTCCCCTTTAATGTACTTCACATTACAATTTATAGAAAAAATAAACCCCAAAATGAACACTTTTACCAAAAAGGCTATTTTTTAAAAATAAGCTTCAGCCAGCTCTTGCTTTATTAGAGCCCATCTGAATAATTTGTATGTTCAGCCGGTTCCAGTACACTGAACCATTTCCTGAAACACACCGAGGAATTATTTATTAGCGTGTTACATGACACCAGAACAGAACCTGAAGGAGAGGAGTGGTGCAACTGTTAGGGCTAAGAGTTGATCTTATTATATATATAAACATTATAAAGAGTAAAATATAATTTATCTGTTTTTTTTTTTCTGGTCTTCTCATAAAATGAACCCTCCTGTAGTTCTTATTATGACACAATTAGACATGAAAAGTAGACAAACAGAAAGAAACAGAACTCGAATAACATTTACAAGAAGGTTCAGCTTATTTACAGCCTTGTTTATTTATTAATTTATCTGTGCCATTTCATAAATTAAAGATGATTGTTTTTGGTGGGGTTCTGGCTTGTTTTGTCCGGACAACGCCCACTTCTTGCTGAAAGAGAACAAAAAAAAGCTGTCTGCTTTCCCATTCAGACGCAAGCATCTTCGATCATAAACGATCTTTGATCATTGGAATCTCGGCCTTTGTTGTCGCGCTTTAGCCAATCGCCTTGCGGCTCTGAGAACGAACGCCCACAATTCCCAGCTCCGTCCAATCAGAGCTCGYCTCCAGCAGGAGTCCATTTCGGTGGACGGGGTATCCTGCTGGCAGCTGGCTGGAACCTGTTGCTCCGTAGTTCCGTGTTGTGCAATGGACGGGTGAGTTATCCCAGCGACTTCACACTCCTTTTAAATGTACCTTAGGGTTGTTTTCCCTCCACCCGTTAGAGCAGCGGCTTGATAGTTCCGCCGGAGGTTGTATTTGTCCCGCAGARCAGCYGCCTCTCTCGCTGCGAGACCAACTGTCGGAGAAGTTGTGTTTTGAGCTTGAAGCCGAGCTAGCAGAGTTAGCTTAGCCTCACACAGCGGGCCATTATCTACGGACACAACTCCTTAACACTCCTTAACGTCACGTCTTTAGCTTAACAAATACGTTTCGACTTCCAGAACACAGCTGAATGTCTGGTTTATTAATGAGTTGTTAAAAGACTGATCGAAACAGCGGATATAACTTTCATCACGATGTTTTCTCACGCACACCGTTTTCACCGAACAGTTCTCCATTAAATAAAAAACTAAGTTTTTGTTTTTAAACGTAACTTCGTCAAATTGTTTCTGTGCCGAATTGATTAGTTGCCTCTTCTGATGAGTTAAAGTGTGAAAGTTTTGTCTTTATTTGTTTTGTTACGTTTAAGAAAAATGGAGAAACTTTAAAATCAGGATAATGCACAGAGTTTGGTTTACAAGAYCGAAGCTGTAAACGGAAGTGATTAAAACTAAAACTGCAGAGGATTTTATAAAATAAATTTACAGAAAAATGCTGGTCTTAGTCTCAATTAGTTTTAAGTTTTCTCAGTTTTGGATGAAAACTTTAATAATGACTTGTTCTTAAATTTAATTTCAATACATTCTTTAATTTAACATCTAAAATAAGTGTTTTTACCTGAATACAGACATTGAATTATGCTGATGATAATAAATCAAGATTTTAAAATACAAATGGTTAAAGTTTGTTTTTAATATTTATCTTTTCTTAATGTTTACAAAGAAACAGGGACTTTTATATTTATTTGAGATAACTCTACTAAAAGTGACTTCATGAAAAAYAATATAACAGATGAACATTAACCAAACTAACGTTAAAGAACTAAAAATAAAATCAGGAATCAGTGTGAAGTTTTGACACAGTATTTTTGCCAAAGTGTTTTGCTTTTTTTGTTAGCATTTTGCTGCTTTTCAGCCTTAAGCTAACTCCTTGTTATAGTTAGCTTTTAGCTCGTCTTTTATTCTAATGATTTTTTTTACATGTTATTATTTTTAGATTTTTAGCTAGCTTTATGTTCTGTTTTTATACCTTTTTGCTAAATTTAGATTCAGCTAGCCTTTGAATAAAACAGAATAGAATAATCTTTATTGTTGTTGCACAGGCCTGAACATAGAAGGAGATGTAGGACTAGAGCTGCCAGAAACGATTATTTTTATAATCGATTAATCACCGATTATTTATTCGATTAGTCGACTAATCGGATCAWACGTTAATTGAATATAAAWCATACAGCTTATCACGTCAGAATGCAGCTGCTATTATATAACCATGGTTAGATTTTAGCTATATGCTAACTAAAAATATTTGCTGTGGAAGGTAAGTTCTGCTCTGCAGATATTACACAGGTTTCTCTTTCATTTTCTTAAAATGATCCCACACTTTGAGCTCTGTTGTCAGGTAGCCATGATACCAGAGCCTGTCTGTATAATGTCTTGTGACGTCCACGGCCTACCCCAGTTACCACTACTGTGCATGTGTGTCAAGGACAGAAAGGCAGATGTGGCAGTGGAAGGTGTCAAAACAGTTTGGAGAGAAAAACAAAGTAAAGAACAAAATAAAAGAAAACGATTAATCGATTATTAAATYAGTCATCGATTATTTTAATCAATTAGTCATCGATTAATCAATTAATCGTGGCAGCCCTATGTAGGACAACAGCTGTATACAGAGACAGTAGCTGTGTTTCCATTACAAATGTGCGCAAAACTTTCTCGATATTCTGTTAATGTCGAAAAAACACAGTTTCACAACTGCAGTGTTTCCATTAAGTAAKAAATGTTATTAAAGTCACGTGAATACGTTTGTTCTCATGATAAGTCATTACAAACATGGCGGCGATGGATGTAAACACATAGCATGTTGCTACCACGACACTAGCGCTCATCATCAGAGGAGACGTCGGCGTCTTTTATCGAGGCTTTCCAGAGACAAGTCCCTACTTGGGAGCGGCTACGTATGCTGTGTTTTTGGGAAAYTGTAGTCGGTGAGTTTACTATTTTATACTACTTCTGTGATATTACTACTACTTCTACTTCCTGTTATCTTCTTCATCATCGTCTTTTTCACCAGTAGAAACAGCCGGTTGTTGATCACGTGACTCCTGTGATGTGAAAAAAGTGTTTCCATTACAGTTTTGTGAAAAACACCAATTTCKATACGGCCGAAAAACCACCTCATCCTAGCGCAAAAACATTTTGTCGAAAAACACATTTTTTTCGAAATTGACGTGTTTCCTTTGAGCTAATTTTTTTTGAAATTCTAATTTGCACATTTTGATTGTCAGTGGAAACGCAGCTACTAATAATAAAGTAGTTATAGCTCTCAGGATGTTCAGCTGTTAATGCTCCTGTACCTTCTGCTGGAGGGCAGGTGCTGGCCGGGATGGAGGGGGTCCTGATCCCCCTGCAGCCTCTTCTTGCTCTCGTCTTGGTGGAGTTAGCGTACCACAGTGATGGCTGGGTGATATGGCTGAAAACATGTCGTGATATAAGCGTTTCATATCAATATCGGTAATTATTGGTTAGTTTAGACAGCATCGGCCTGACTCTTGTCGAATTTAAAATATCAGATTTTTCCTCTTTTGCCCACAATTTCCTCTCGAACTGTTGCACCGTTTTCTCCTTTCACTCCCGCTGTTCTTTTTTTRTTTTTAAGCCATTCTGAAGCACTCTAAAGAAACATGAAACAGATATGGCAWGCGTTACTCCACAGGTGTTTTGCCAGCGTGCCTTCTTTAGAATAGAATAAAAGAATAGAAACAGCCTTTATTGTCCTGCACAGGGAAATTCAGGTGTAGCAGCAGCAGCAGGTACGTACATCAATCCACAGAAACAGTATATTACTATGTGACGTCATCAACTGTAGCAATAATAATAGAATTAAAGATAGTAACAATAAAAAATATATATAGATCAAAATAAAAATAAGAAAAATAATTACTGTAACGGACTATCAAGATGAAATTAGATAAAAATGAAATACAAAAGAAAGATACTGTGCAGAAAAATACAAAATCATRTCATGACAGACTCATGATCCAGGTGCAGCATTTAGCTGTTGGGGCATCATAGTGACGCCCTCTTCAGTTTTCAGAAGCCTTATTTCAGTGTAAAAGCACCCTAAGTTAATTAATTTCATGTTAACCGTACAATGGTGGACTGGTTCGGCAAGCTAGTGTTTTATTGCCCAAACCTGCCAACAAGAGGGAGAAAACAACCCCTTTTTACACATTTCAAAATAAAGCGCATGGTTTTTTTTTTGTTTTTTTAGTGGGCATTTGTCTATCAAGAGCTTGAAKCTTTTATTTTGAAGGTGAATCTTAGTTTTCCTAGTGTTGTTTAGCTGAAAGGTTCTAGCTAATTTTATCAAAGTTATCAACCATTAGCAGTTAACAACCAGTGACATTATTGATTTTATATCAGATGTGTTAAAAATATTGTGTTTATCACGATATATGTCGTTATTCAATTATTGCCATCTCCAATAGAAATTCTTTGCTACATTTAGCTGGCCTTAAGCTACATTAAACTAGCCTTTTGCTACATCTTTCCTCTTTGATACTTTAGTTATTTAACCAGACTTTTGCTACACTAAGCTTTATTTAGCTTTTTGCTACACATAGCAAGCTAGTGCCACATTTAGGTACCTATTTGCTACATGTAGCTAGCCTTTAGCTGCTTTTAGCCTCCTTTAGCTCTAAGCTAGTGTTCTGTGCCTTTCAGTTGTAACAGCTCTGTGCTCAGCCTGTTTTAGCAGAAAATGTAAAACTTGTTAAATTTAATCTGCGTCATTAAAAAATGATTTTAAGATTATCTGTTAAAAAAAGCCGAAACAACAAACATCTTGTTCAATTTCATTGTACAGCTCTGTGCAATGAAACTATTCTATTCTATTCTGCTCTGTTCTATTCTGCTCTACTCTACTCTATTCTGCTCTATTCTACTCTACTCTACTCAAAGTATATTTCTGTGTTCAACATTGCTTCCTGCAGAAAAATAAACAGATTTTTTAGCTTTAATCAGCTAAAATGACTCTTTCAGCTGTTTTTATTTAGCGTCTGTAAACAGATTTCTGTAAATCTTTTTGAGCTTTTAATTTAAACTCTGGATGGGTTCCTGACTTGAAGAGGAAGCTGTCGGCTCTGGTGTTGAGCAGAAACAGGTTTGCGGTCCGGCTGTGGCCCGTTAGCCGTTTGTTTTAGCTCGGCTCGTGTCGCTGCACCCCTCCGTTCTGCCTCGGCTTGAGTCGGGAGGCGTCGGTGTTTGTCGTGTGAATATTTGTGCTTCGTCAGGACTCCTGTGAGCCCCGAGGGTCTTCCTCCTGCTGGTTTACGGCCTGCGTCAGCCTGAGCAGACGGTTTCAGGTCTGAAGTTAGTCTGGCAGACATTTTCCTCSTTTCTTCTTAAACTTGTTTCACTGAAATAAACACTTTTATGAAGGGTTTTAAATCATATTAACACATATAAAACTGTGTAACATTTGATTTTTTAAGGCCTAAAATCTGTTAAAACTCTTGTTATTTAGTGGACTTTAAAGGCCTTAAAGGGATAATTCACATCTTTTAAAGGGGAGTAAATATCTTACCTGCTGTAGATAGATTTTTGACTGTTGTCAGTTTTCAGTAAAAGTGTCCTGTAGTAGATTTTAAGATCTTATTTTATTAGTTTAAAGCTTATTTTAATATATAAATGTTTAGATTTAGTGCTTTTATTTTGTAACAATGTTGGTATTAGTGTTGGTTYTGTTTGGATCACATGCTCAAGTTGAAAATGGAGATGAACAGTGAAATTTAAAGCAGTTTTATTTTGTAGTATTAGTTTGTGTTATCAGTTTTGACACTGAACTCATATTTTGTCTGATTTTCTTTAAAAGCTGTATTTAATAGGAACGATCTTCATTGTTGTGGTTTAAGTTTTAAGACAAAGGAGGCAGGAAGTAGGCCTCAGGTGGATTTACCTGCAGCTGTGGATTCCACAGGTCTTCCTGAAGTGGTTTTGTTTTTTTCAACAGAATCTGTTTCGGTTTTAGTTCCGATCTGCTGCTTCTGAACTGGTTTTATTAAAAACCAGTTTGTCARTTTGTGTCTCTTCAGTAAAGACTTCATCCCTTCTCTGAGTTTCTGTGTATTTAAAGGTCAAAGTGTGATTTATAGAGGAGGTCAAAGGTCAGGAACAACAGTTGTCTGATAATTTATTAAACTTAACAACTTAAAACCAAAATAAAAACACTTTTTGCTTCTTTATTTTACCGTGCTGTTCTATAATAAATGTATTATGTTTGATTGTTTTTATTCTCACACAGAATAAACTCAGAACTCTCTGAAGTTCCTGTGGTGGTTTGGACCAAAGACCTGAAGTGTGCCGTGGTCTCGGTCGTGTTCAGAGCTGGTCCGGTCGCGTACCTGTCGTGGTCCGGTCACGTTCTCGTAGGTTCTGGAGGACGTGAAGGAGATTTTATTTTTATTTACAAACTGTCCTGGTTTGAACCCAAACGCCCCGTTAACCCTGGGATCGAATGTTTCGGCTGATTGTTGGTCCGGATCAAAACGGTTCTTTAATCTGGCCCGGTAAAGACTGGGTTCTTTAGTTCTGCCTCTGGCTTTTTGGTGCTGAAGTCAGAAACGCTCTGTGCTTTAGCTGTTTAACAGAATGTTCGGCTCATTCAGCCGATGGCTCCTGGGATCTTTTTGTTTTTGTAACTTTTTTAAATATTTAACTTTGTCAAATATTTTTGTTTCACTTCCTTCAGAAACATTTTTAAAAARATTTTTGTCATCTGCTACTTTTAGCCTTTAGCTAYCTACCTCTCATTATACTTAGCTTTTTGTTTTAATCTTTTTACTAACCTTTGCTACTAGATTTTAGCTACAATTTTGTTGCTTTGCCAAATGTTCAGCTGCCTTTGACTTAAGAATCCGTTAGCTTCTTTTTAGCTTTTAGCTACTGTTCTGCCAATTTTAGCTTTTTGGCTAGCCATTTGATACTTGTAGCTTTTTGCTAACCTTTGCTACTCTTAGCTAGCAATTGCYGTATTTAATTTTTACCAAGCCTTTTGTAGCATTTAGCTTTTTWTAGTAGCTTGCCTTCTTTTAGCTTTTAACTGCTGTTCTGCCACTCTGAAGGTTTTTTTGTTTACTTTTGCTACTCTATTTTTAGCTTATACTTAACCTTTCAGCACATTTAGCTTTTGGCTAGGCTTGCATTACATTTATTTTTGACTAGTCTTTTGTTACATTTAGCTACCTTGTGCTGCTTTAAATTTTTAGCTGATGTTTGGTTTACTTTAAGTGGTGTTTTTCTTTTTAGCTGGTTTTTGTCTCCTTTTAGATTTTGATTGGTGTCTTTTTAGCTTTTAGCTGGTGTTTGGCATTCTTAAGCAGGCATTTGTCTCTTTAAGCTGATGTTTGGCTCTTTTTAGCTGATGTTTGGCTCTCTTTAGCTGTTGTTTTGCTCACTTTAGCTGTTGTTTTGCTCACTTTAGCTGTTGTTTTGCTCACTTTAGCTGGTGTTTTGCTCACTTTAGCGGTTGTTTCGCTCTCTTTGGCAGTTGTTTTGCTCTCTTTAGCTGTTGTTTTGCTCTTTTAGCTCTTGTTTTGCTCTTTTAGCTCTTGTTTTGCTCTCTTTAGCTGTTGTTTAGCTCTATTTAGCTGTTGTTTTGCTCTCTTTAGCTGTTTTCTCTTTTAGCTGTTCTTTTGCTCATTTTAGCTGGTGTTGTTTTGCTCACTTCAGCTGGTGTTTTGCTCACTTTAGCTGTTTTCCTCAGTTTAGCTGGTGTTTTGCTCCTTTCAGTTGGTGTTTTGCTCCTTTCAGCTGGTGTTTTGCTCTCTTTGCTGTTTTCTCTTTTAGCTGTTGTTTTTGCTCATTTAGCTAGTGTTTTGCTCACTTTAGCTGGTGTTTTGCTCTCTTTAGCTGATGTTTAGCTCTCTTTAGCTGTTGTTTTGCTCTCTTTAGCTGGTGTTTTGCTCTCTTTAGCTGGTGTTTAGCTCTCTTTAGTTGGTGTTTTGCTCTCTTTAGCTGGTGTTTTGCTCTCTTTAGCTGGTGTTTAGCTCTCTTTAGCTGGTGTTTAGCTCTCTTTAGCTGGTGTTTTTCTCTCTTCTGGATCTAAGCAGAAAAACCTGAAGAATTTAAATGAATTCTTTCAGTTTCCTTCTTGTTTTCAGCTCTGTAAGGTCTCTTTATTTTAGTTTTTATTTAACATCTCTCTCATGTCTTTATTTTAGTTTTTATTTTTCGCTATAACATCTCTCTCTCATGTCTTTAGTTTTTATTTTTTGCTGCTGATTTAATTTATTTTCTCCCCGCTGCCTCTAACACGCTGTCTTTTCTTTGCAGCAGTGTCCACCACGATATAACAGTTGGTACTAAGGTAGGCCCCTTTGCTTCTTCTTCTTCTTCTCTTTTCTCTCTGTCTGCTTTCTTTTGTTTTTGTTGCTGTGATCGGCGAACGGGTCGGCGGCGCTGCCACCCGGGACCGACTCGGTGTGATTTTTGAAGCCGTTTTGTAATCCCGCTCCTCCAGGAGTAATCAGATTACTCAGCAACGAGCTTAAAGAACCAAAGACTTGGATCGTTCCTGTTCTGGGTCCCAGTTCTTTGTCTCTGTTACACRCTGGTTCTGGTTCTGTCTGCGGTTGACTTGTTTTGGATGCGGTTCCGTCTTTCCGACTCTCTTGGACGGCGAAGACTAAAAGTAAGATTGTAAACAGTGGCGGCCATCTTGTTSAGTGCTAGATGCACACCTGTTGATTTGACACAAGTTTCATTCAAATYCATCCAGTTGTTCATGATATTTTGCTAACAGACACAAACAGAAGCTCTTTGACTTTGAGTTAATGACTCTCAGCTACTACCACACCAAACCATGGCTCAGGGGTGGGCAGTCCTGGCCCTCGAGGGTCGCAGCCCTACAGGTTTTATGTTTTTCCTGCTCCAACACACCTGGTTCAGACATTGAATTACCAAGTTCTGCAGTATGGAGGACTGACTCTGACAGAACTAGAAAAAAGGCAGAAATATATAAATGGACCAATAAATAAATTCAATTAAAAATGTGCCATTTACTGTTTTTTTTTTACTGTATTTTAATATATAATTATATATCATATATAATTATATATAATATAAATAAAATTCTCCTTTTTGAATTATATTGGTGCAATTTAAGTTTATTTATTTATTTATTAGTCAATTTATATATTTCCGCTTTTATTTTTAATTATGTCAGTTTCGGTCCTCCGTACTGCAGATCCTGATAATCACCCATTCWTTCAAATCAGGTGTGTTTGAGCAGAGAAACAAATAAAACATGGAGGGCTGCGACCCTCGAGGACCAGGATTGCCCACCCCTGCCGTAGCTCAATATTTATAAAACTGAGGAAAATATAACGAGTTTTGTTTTGTTGGCTGAGGCGGCCATTTTGCTCAGTTGTAGCCGTTTGTCTAGTAATTATTTCCAGGAAGTTTAAACTGAAGGAGCGGCTGTAATCTGCTGGGTTCAGGACGGAGATCAGAACCAGATGAAGGCAGAGGAGCAGGAAGTGATGAAGAGCGAGGGGGTGGGGGGGTCTCCTGTTTCCTCCTCGGCCTCGGGGTGAGTAACCCGACACCACGCTGACCGCGGACACCAGCTCCGGTTAGAGGAACCGCTTCAGACCCAGAACCTGAAACAGCAGGGTTCAGGTCTCAGGTTCCCAGCTGGTCTCTAAAAAAATAATAAAACTCACCAGGTGAAGACCACCTGGTGAAGACCACCTGGTGAGTCACCAGGTGGTCAAGGTGGTGACCCGTTTTAACCAAACCCTGAGGTTTCCTCTCACTAACGTAATCCTGCCGTTTGTCCCAGCAGCAGAATAAATTATCCTGTAATGAACAGGTTTAAATTCAGCAGCTTTTTAATCATGATCAGCTTTTTAATTCACCCCGAGGCTTTCAGGAAACCACTAAAGCAGAAAATGAGGGTTTCTGTTCACGCCACAGTTCTTCTGGTCGACTGGAAGAATTTTAATTTTCAGATATTCAGAATTTATTAAAACCCAGTTGAACTGAGTGGGTCGGTGTAAAGTGACTGGTTTTACTTCGATCCTCTGAAGAAACCAGACTCAACACGCAGGTCGCTTTGGGAAAACCTCACAGGGTCAAATTAGAATAAAATCTGAGTTTTTGCGTTCAGTCGTCAAAAATCTGATTTGGGTCACGTTTGCTTTCAGAAAGTCTTCAGTAGGACTGGGTCAGGTTTTTACGTGGTTGTGGAGTAATTTTGTCCCACTTCTCTTTTCAGTTGTTTGAGGTTATTTATAGGCCTGTGTATTGGCAAGAATATGGCGATACGATACATATTATGACAGACTGGTCACGATACGAAATATCCCGATATATTGCGATACTGTAAGCAAGGTGATATATTGCGATATTTTTTGGTCCAAAAATTCTATTAAATAAAAACCTCTTACTGGAAAAATAAATGAAAAACCAAAATTCAATATCTCAGAAAATTCCATTACATAGACATTGCGCTAGCCTTCTGTAACGTGAAAGCTGACTACAGTTGGAAAAAAGAGCACAAAACAC